TTCTGGAAAACAAAAGAAAGGCTTCTAATTGCCAGATAATTGTTTACTTTGACTGTTACAGTTCAACAGAGAAAGAAGCAGTGCTACTTCAAATATGACAGCAGAGGCACATTCTGTCAAACACTGTGAAAATCATGGTAATACAGAATCACAAAAAGAAAACGGTAATTCTCCAGCCACCAAACTCAAAAGGCCCAGAATATTGCAATCTAACTGATAAAAGAATTCAAAATAGCTGTTACAAAGGATTCAGTAAGCTACAAGGAAACTCAAAAAGACAGTTCAGTGAACTCAGGAATAAAATTAGTGACCAGAAGGAGTTATTTACCAAAGAGACTGAAATTTTAAAAAAGAACCAAATTCTGCAGCTGAAGGATTCAATGAATGAGAAGAATGCATTAAAGAGCTTATTAGACAAGAGGGCAGATCAGATCAAATCAGCAAGTAGAGGACAGGAATTTAGAAGTGACTTAGAAAAGGAGCACTAAGATTTTTAAATACTGAAAAAACCCTCGAAAAGCTATCAGCTATGATGAGAAAGACAAATATAGTAATGACTGGTCTACCAGAGAGAGATGAGAAGAGGGCAGAGAGCATATTTAGAGGAAAAATAGCTGAGAACTTCCCAAAGCTAGGGAAGAAATTAGACATACAAGACTAAGAAGATACCAGAACACCCTATTATCTTAATGCAAAAAGAACTCCCAAGACACATTATAATGAAACTGTCAAAAGTTAATGATAAAGAATGTTAAAGGCAGCTGGGGGGAGGAGGGACCTATGAAGGAACTTTCTCAGCAGAAACTCCACAAGCCAGGAGAGAATGGAATGACACATTCTAAGTGTTAAAAGATAAAAACTGCCAACCAAGAATACTTTATCCAGCAAAATTATCCTTCAGATATGAAGGGGGACATAAAGGCTTCCTAAACAAAAAACTGAGGGAGTTCTCCACCATGAGAGCCACTTGCAAGAAATGCTGAAAGGAGTTCTTCAAGCTAAAAAGAAAAGATGCTAATTAGTGACACAAAAGAAATTGAAGTACACTATACTATAGCAAAGGTTAAAAAGTAGCAGAATTAGAAAACTGTAACTCTCTATTAGAATGGTGTATTAACCACTTAAATTATTTTTAATGCTTCTTTCCTTAAGCCTTTATACATAACTATAATTTCTCAAAAATTCACAGCATAAAAAGTAAGTTTGTGACATCAAAAATGTAGAAGGATGGAGCCTTTTTATAGGTAAACAAAGGATAAGGTGTTAACAGCATAAAAAAATTTATCTACCTCTGATGTAAGCCACATGGTAAACAAAGCAAAAATCAACAGTCATGAAACATAAAGGGGGCTACTGAACAAACCACCATGAAAACCACCACTTTATAAAAGTAAACAAACAGGGGAAGAGAAACAATGGAGATACAAAACCACCAGAAGGCAAATAAGATGGCAGTAGTGAGTCCTTACATATCAATAATCACTCTAAATATAAATCAACTGAATTTACCAAAAAAGAGTGGCTGGATAGATACATGCTGCCTACAGGAAAGTGATTTCAACTCTAAAGACACACAAGCTCAAAGTGAAGGGAATGAGGATATTCCATGCAAATGGAGACCAAAAGAAAGCAGGCATAGCCATACTTAATCAGACAAAATAGATTTCAAGCCAAAAATGATAAGAGACAGAGGTCAGTATGTAAAGATAAAAGGGTCAGTACAGCAAGAAGATATAATAGTCATAAATATACATGCACCCAGCACTGGAGCACTGAAATATATTAAGCAACAGATCTAAAGAGAAAAACAGAAAATACAATATTCGTAGGGGACTTCAATACTCCAGTCAGCAATGGATAGATCATCCAGACAGAAAATTAGCAAGGAAATGTTGGATCTGAACCATATTCTGTAACAAATAGACTTAACAGACATACATAGAACACTCCCTTCAACAGCAGCAAAATACACATTCTTCTTGAGTGCACATGGAACACTTTCCAGGGAAGATCATATGATAGAGCACAAAAGAAATCTCAGCATATTTTAAGAACAGTGAAATCATACCAACTATCTTTTCTGACCACAGTGGTATGAAACTAGAAAGCAACAAAAGGAAAGCTGGGAAATCTACAAATATGTAGAAATTACTCATGCTTCTGAACAATCAAAGAAATGTGTCAAAGAAGAAATCAAAAGGGACATAAAATATCTTGAAACAAATGAAAATGGAAATACAGCATATCAAACTTATGGGATGCAGACAAAGCACTTCTGAGAGGAAAGTTTATGGTGATAATTGCATATATTAAAAAACTAGAAAGATCTCAAATAAGTAAACTCACTTTACATCTCACGGAACCAGAAAAAAACTAAGCCCAAAGTTAGCAGAAGGAAGGAAATAATAAAGATCAAAGGAAATAGAGACCAGGGGAAAATAGAAAGGACTGACAAAACTAAAAGCTGGTTCTTCAAGAAGATAAAATTGACAAACTTTATTCAGACCAAGAAAAAATGAGAGAAGGCTCAAATGCATAAAATTAGAAATACGAAAAGAAGGCATTACAACTGTTACTACACAAACACATAGGGCCATACGAGACTATTACAAGTAATTGTTGGCATATAGCCAACAAATTATAGCGCACCAAGAAGAAATAGATAAATTTCTAGAAACACACAACCTACCAAGACTGAATCAGACCAATAACAAGCAAAGACACTGAATCAGTAATCAATAACTTCCCAACACAGAAAACCCCAGGCTTCACTGGTAAATTCTACCAAACACTAAAAGAATTAACACCAGTCCTTCTTTAAGTCTTCCCCCAAATTGAGGGTATACTTCCAAACTCATTCTATGAGGGCAGCATTACCCTGATACCAAAGCTAGAAAAGGACACTACAAGAAAAGCAAACTATAGACCAACAGCACTGACGACTGTCCACACAAAACTTCTCAACAGAGTATTAGCAAACAGAATTCAAGAACACATTAAAAGGTGGGAGGGTATAACTCAAGTGGTAGAGTGAATGCTTAGAATACACAAGGTCCTGGGTTCAATCCCAATACCTCCTCTGAGAATAAATAAAACCTAATTACTTCCCCACCACCAAAAAAAAAAAAACCACATTAAAAGGATTTTATACCCCATGAAAAATGAGGTTTATCCTTAGGATATAAAGACAATTCAACATATGCAAATCAATAAATGTAATAAATGACACTGGTAATATGAAAGATAAAAATCATGTGATCATCTTCAACAGATGCAGGAAAAGCATTTGACAAAATGCAGCATCCTTTCAAGATACAAATCCTTCTCAGATTGGGTACAGAAGGAATATTCCTCAATATAATAAGGGCCATATATGGCAAGTCCATAGCTAACATTATACTCAATGGAGAAAATGTCAAAGCTTTTCTTCCTAGATCTCTCACCCACTCTCACCACTCTTATTTAATATAGTACTGAAGTCTTAGCTAGGGCGATTAAGCAAGACAAGAAGGTAAAAAGCATCGAAGTCAGGAAAAAAGTAGCAAAACTCACTATTTGCAGATGAGTCCTATATAGAGACTAAACAAAAAACTGTCAAAACTAATACACATTTTCAGTTAAGCTGCAGGGATACAAAATCAACTTACAGAAATCAGTTGCATTTCTATACACTAAGGATAAAACTTTTGGAAAAGAAAGAAAACTGTTCCATTCACAATAGCATCAAAAACAATACAATACTTAGGAATAAATTTAATCAAGGGAATGAAAGATTTGTACAATGAAGACTGCAAGACTGCAGAAAGAAATCAAAGACAACGAACAAACGAAAAGACGTCCTGTGTTCATGGATCAAAAGAACTAATTCTGTTAAAATGTCCATATTACCCAAAGTCATCTATAGATTCAGTGCAATCCTCATCAAAATACTAATGGAATTCTTTACAGTAGTAGGAAAAAAAAATCCTAAAATTTGTAAGGAACCACAAAAGACCCTGACTAGCCAAAGTAATCCTGATGCAGAAGAACAAAGCAGGAGGCACACTTCCTAATTTCAAATCATACACAAAGCTATAGTAACAAAAACAGCATGGTACTGGCACAAAAACAGACCAATGGAACAGAAAAGAGCCCAGAATTTAACCCTGCACGTATGGCCAGCTATTCAACAGGGGAGCCAAGTGCACCCAAGGCAGAAAGGCTGGTCTCTTCACAAATGGTGTGGGGAAAATGGATAAGCACATGCAGAGCAATGAAATCTGGCCCCCATCTCACACCACTCATAAAAATCAACTCAAATGGATCAAAGAGTTAAACACGAGACCTGATACTATACACCTCCTAGAAGAAAACTTAGCGGAGAAGCTCCTTGTCATTAGTCTTTGTCAATATATTTTTGGATATGACACCAAAAGCACAAACAACAAAAGCAAAAATCAACAAATGGGACTACATTAACTAAAAAGCCTTTGCACAGCAAAGGAAACCATCAACAAAGCAAAAAGGCAGCCTACTGAATGGGAGAAAATATTTGCAAATTATTTATCCAATAAGGAGTTAATATTTAAAATATATAAAGAACTCATACAACTCAATAACAAAAAAACTGATAAAAAAATAACTAAACAGACATTTTTTCTGAAGAAAACATACAAGTGCCCAAGAAGTACATGAAAAGACGCTCAACATCACTAATTATCAGAAAAATGCAAATCAAAACCACGATGAGATATCTTAACACCTGTCAGAATGGCTGTCTTTGAGAAGACAGGTAATCACAAGTGCTGGTGAGGATGCACAGAAAAGAGAATGCTCGTGCCCTGCTGATGGAGATGAAAACTGGAGCAGCCACTATGGAAAACGGTATTGAGGTTCCTCAAAAAAATTAAAAATAGAATATGATCCAGCAAGTTGACTTAAGTATTTATCTTAAGAAAATGAAAACACTTAACTCAAAAAGATACATACACACTCATGTTCATTGCAGCATTATTTACAATAGACAAGATACAGAAGCAACCTAAGTGTCCAAGGATAGATGAATGGATGAAAAAAGCAAATGTGATACATACATACAATGGAGTATTACTCAGCCATGAGAAAGACCTTGAGGACATTATGCTAAGTGAGACAAGTCAGACAGAAAAAGCAAGTACTATATAATATATGAAATTTTTAAATGCCAGACTTTAAAGAACAGAAAATAAAATGGTGGTTACCAGGGGATGAGGAGGTGGGGGAACAGGAAAGATGTTTAAGGGTACAAATTTATGAGTGGTAAAATAAATAAGCCCCAAAGATATAATGCACAGTACAGTGAATACAGACAATATTAAAATCATCAAGCTTGCTAAGAGACTAGAACTTATTCCAGCTACTACAAAGAAAGGAGGTGCTAATTATCACTATAACTGCAATCACATAGTGTATCAAATTAATGTGTATACCTTAAATTTACACAATATTATGTCAAATATATTTCAATTAAAAAAGACGGGAAATCAACAGCTGTCTGTAACTAAATCACTGCAAATTACATAACTAAATTCCAGTTTAAGGGGATAAGATAAAATTCTTACCTTGATCAAGCGTCCATCAGTTTTCAATGGTTCTTGGGAGAAAATATGTAATATATAATACATACAATAGCTCACATGAACTATTATGAACTATAATGTCACTTTATTACAGTTCTCGTACGTCAGACCTGACCAGACTCTTATTTCTGCCAAGTTTGGGTCTGTTATACAACACTCAAAGATTTTTCTCCTTATCCACCTATTGATTGCCCAGGAATGGTTTACTCTGCAAGCCACTCACATCTTTGATATAATAACAAAACTAACTGCTGTTTACACATGCTTATTTGATATTTAACGTGTTATCTTCTATTCAGGGCAAAATAACTGCCTTGAAAATAATTTTTAATTCTCAGCCACAGTGAATAGATGCCAATCAAGTGTAGTATTCCCAATATTATAACTGATTTGCCATTCATTGCTGCTTTATTAACATACTTCATTCTCTTTTCCTTTTAGGAAATAAATACCCTGAAAGCAGATAATAATGCTTTAAAGATCCAACTGAAATATGCACAGAAGAAGATAGAAACCCTCCAGCTTGCAAGAAGCAATCATGTCTTGGCTCAGATGGAACAGGGTGACTGTTCTTAGCTCCGAAGCCCAAGCAGCACAACCTGTAGATGAGGACACTGGAGATCTCATTTCCTAAACCTGTTAGCACAGAGACCAGGGGGACCTTAGATTGGCTTTAAAAAGGGTACTTTTAAAGAAGAAAGGTGGTTACTCATTTTTTTACCTTAAAGATTCCTACTGTGCGGTATTGTTTTCTCTTCCAATCAGTTGAATCAAAGGGGAGGAAACCTGAAGAATGCAGAACTTTTGCCATTCATACCACAAACTTTTTTTCCCCCCTAGGACTAGTATCAAAAGCATGATAAAAACATGACTATAGTTTTCTGACTGGGAAGCGTCTTCTATGTGGCCTGCCTGGCTGCTGCTTCCTTAGAACTAAAATCCCTGGAAAATGAATTTCCTTCCTTCCTTCCTTCCTGTTTTTTGTGAACTTGGCATTTACTTTGTTCCATCCAAAGCTTGCTTATAATGGAAAAATACCCACATTCCAAAAGTAGAACTGCTTCCTGTATATTTCAGCAGTCTTTACAAATCTGGTTCCCACTTCACTACCTCAGATCTAAACAGTATGCCTTTTCTCCTCCTCCCTCACTACGTTCATACACACAAGGGCATCTAACTAGAGGTGAACTTCTAGAGATGTAGCCACAAATTGGGGGGGGGGGCAGTTAAACATCATCCAATTAAAACTCAATAGTTTTAATCTCACAGTCATAAACTAAGTAACCAAATAAAATAGCTAGAAATGTGGCTATTACTATCTCATACATGGCTGGCTAATTAGCTAAAAAGTAAAAGGAATGCAAACATACTTGTCCCTTTGATGTACAAGTGGACAGAATTAAGAATTTATGGCTTTTTAAAAAGTTTAACTCTCACATACCATCCTTATGTTTTTTGAAGTAACTATTTTTGAACTGAATTTGTGCTACTGTACTGTCTTCACTATTAATACTATTTAGAAATAAGCTAATTGGATCAGTCTTCAATAATAGCTGACAGTGTACATATGTATATATTATTTATATACAATATCAGACATGCATGTGGCTTGGAATTCTGTTTCCTCCTTCCTAAGTGTGGAAGCAAATTAAAGCGGCTTTTGGTCACATACACAAATTTGCAAAGTTAAGTAATGGTACAAGATGAAGAAATTGCTCACAATGTTAATTGTATTGTTTGGCAAACTCACAACTATGAGTTTTCTATTAATGAAGGTTAATGATAAATGGGCTTTTTTTTAATTATCTGGGCAACTATTTACAAACTTCCTTGTCAGATTCTTTTTCTCTCTAAAAAAAAAAAAAATTCCATATGATCATTTTCTTTTCAGGGGAACTTACCTTCCAAGCTTGAAAACCCTGATACCAAGCTGACTTAAAATTCAAACACAGATTGACCAACTGCCAAGAATATAATCTCAACAACTAAAAGTTCCAAACCTAAAGCCAACACCAAGTCTTAATCAGAAGCAAATTGTATATACAAATAATAGCTTCCTTGGAGGATTCAGACCATTTAGGAAGTTTCTTTGATGAAAGACCAGCTCCCATTTGCAGAACTCCTTGTACTGAGCTTTAATGAGAAAACCAGTGACTAGCTTTCAGTTAGTGTTTTAAAGAATCACTTTATACAGACATTTATCCTTTTCTAAACCAAACTCAAAAATCCCCACGACAGGGCTGCTTAGGCCACCACCTGGCATACAGCCTTATAGGAAGTACTTTCTACTTACCGTATGTGGAACAAACATGAATTTATAATAATCTTTAAAATTCATATTCGTCACCTCTCCTTGTCCTCTGCCATACATGAACAGTGGTACAGATCAATGTCGTTAAGCATAGTTATGTAACCCAATTAAATTCTTTTCATTCTTCTTACCCTCCAAAATACAGAGCCCAGGTTCATTTCTGTATAAGTAACTTGTAATCTGTAGGAATTAGAAAAGTCACAGTACCCTTAGTTAGCCTAATTAATATGGCCAGAAGGTCTCAAGCATTTCAGAATTTATCCCTGAAATGGATACGAAGCAATAGTTTCAGCACAGGTTTTTACAGTCTAGCAGGGATCAAAGCAGCATAATGTATAAATTAACATTGTTTGCTCTGAGCTACTTGGGATTAGTGAAATCTACAGAAATAATCTGAAACCAATTTTTGGTTTGTCAAGCCCAGGATACAAACTTGTGTGGCTTCTACTGACTTGAAATAAGTTTGGACACACTTATCTGCCAAAACAAGGACAAATCTTGTTTTGTTAACAGCAATGTCACTTCTCATTTTCTTTGGTAATTCATTTGCAGTTTTACCGGTCATTTGTGAATTTCTGTTTAAGGATGTATAATGTAAAAGAACTGCAAGGAAAAAACAAATGTACAGATTGTAAAGGTGTTTTTTTTTATACTAAATGTAAGTTTTCATTGTGTAATATTTATATGATAAAAGACATCAGAATCCCCACAACATAGGTGTCTTGTTTCTTCTAGTTCATGAATATGTAGAAGCTTTACCTGAATTTTTACTATAGTTGACAGCTAAGAACACTCCCTAATTCTCTTAACCAGAATTTTCCTGAAAGGAAAAGCAAAGCAACTAGTTAGTCAGTGTACATTTTTATCTTTTTATAACATGAAGTAGAAGTACAGAAATATTCAGCCTTTTCCCATCTTACTACATAATGACGTACAGTGATCCCCAAATATTGTCTATAAATACTTAACACTGAAGGAGGTAAATGTGAGGTGGTCATTTTTCTGTGGCTTTCATCTTTAATTCCACAGTTCTAAGACAACTGGCAAGTAAAGAGAAACTCTGAAGCTGTGCGTGGAAGTGGTAGAGGATGGTTGAATCCAAAGTACAGAGCACCCAGAGCAATTCATTTGTGCTCATGATTATCTAGTCACACAGTGTTTAGAGACAGCCATGATTTTTCCTTAATCCCCAGCCAGCTTCTGTTTAACTAGATCAATTTTGGGGAGGGGGAGGATTTTAATCATTCATATTCCACCGTGGAATGCATTCTGGTACACTTGGATGTGGTGTATTTATCATTTTGGCATTTCATAATACTTCATACAAAATAATAAAGTCACACTGACAACTTGGCCCTGAAGGAGAGATTAAATTACCTCCTCTCTTTCATCCCCAATTCCCACTCCAAACATCTCTACCCTGTGTTCCTTCCAAGGTACAGATAAGTGTCGCTGCTCAGAACATTCTCTATCACGAATCTTTCTTGGGTTATCATACCTCCTTTTGACGTATATACAGGCAATTAAATGTTTCCAGTTTAAAGTTTTGTTTTGTTTTGTTTTTTTCTGTTTAGGGAGGCAAGATTTCCCTGATACGCAGAACACAAGGGAAGAGGTTAAAAGGAAACACCTGATCCCTTCTTTTTACTGAGCGCTTACGTGTAATGGTGTGGTGATTATGTATGGACGAACGTATGTCCAGATAAGAGTTTACTCCTTTAATCCAAAACTCCAGTAAGGTCATGTCTATAGGTGCTATTAGATACCACAGGATAGACCAAGGCAGGGAGAAAAAAAGAGGAGGGAAAAAGAGGTAGCAAGAAGAAATAAAACTGAGAACCAGGCAAAAAAGAATGCAGAGGTGGTACAGAAAGAGGAGTTAGCTTTCAGGAAACAGTGAAGAGTGAAGTGCCATTCATCATACTCTCCACTTGTCCTGCACACAACTTGTAAAGCATTTTCACAGTAAGGCCCCAAACTGCCTTCCTGCTGTTGTAGATACTGCTTAGCAAACTTCTACAAAAGAAATTTTTACTGAAAGATTATCATGAAGATCCTATCTCACAGGAAACAGTAAGATACTAGGGTCTACACCACTCAGCTTTTCATTCAAGTGAAGTTTACAGGAATATGTAAATAAGAGTGGTTCCAGCTCCAACAGGATTCCAGGAACAAGTGCTAAACTTGGATAAGATTTACAGCAGATAGCCCATGAAGGTACAAAGAATCTTACAGAAATTAATAAACTAATAATTCTACCATTATTTGCCATAAGCCTTTAGTGATAAAAGCAGCTAAAAGTAGTTGGAAACTCCTCCTGCAGCAGCAACTAAAGCTCCCTAAAAGAAATGAAGCAGAAATGTACAGGTTTTAAATGAATATTTTAACCAATAACTCTTGAAATATTTTACTCCTGTGGTCTTTGCTTATTTTTTTTTAATTATTTATTTTTCAGAGTCCATAGCTACTGATAAGTGTTCCTTTAATTATGGAAAACCTTTTTCTTCAACTATCACAAATAAAATTAAATTTCTTCATTAAATATAAACATTAGAAAAAAATTTAAGTTTACAAATAACTGAAAAAATTTGTTTTTCTACCCTGAACAAACTTCTTTGAAAGGTTAGCTTGAAAAAATACATGACTAAGACTGCAGTATACACAATATTTAAGGTTTTAACAGTATTTTAGATTTTACCACGGGGTTTACTGTAAAGTAAAACAAAACAAAACATGAGTAACACTGCTAAATATCAAATACCACTTGTCCTCTGGTACTCAGCTTTCTATTTGTTGAGTTGATTAGACCAAAGAAAGTTGTTATGCACAAATGACCAGAAGCCTACAGGTTTTATAGTAGGATTGAAAAAATTTGTGTGACTATATCTTTTTCTCTCTTTACAGTAAGAGAAAAAGGCATTACTTGGGCCACCTCTTAAACTATTTACAACAAGTCTCTATAAATTCTCCAAAAGTTGGACTTGTACTTAGGTCTTCATAAAATTATAAAACAACCTGAAAAGGGTACAAGTATCACATTCCTCAACTGATAAATAAGGACAAGTCAACCCTTGGGAGCTAACGTCATTTTGGCCCACAGCACCCCTGCGCTAGTGCCATGATGAGAATTCACAACTCCTGACACCCAAGCCTTTGACAGCTCCAGCCACCAAACCACATTTAATCATTCCCGAACCTCTGTTTCCCAAATCTAGCTGTGAATCAGAATTACCAAGGGATGCCCTGGCCCTGCCTCTGATCTACTGAAACTGGAAATACATGTCCTAACACAGCTCAGCCTGCCTTTTAATATTCAGATACCTAAAGTGATGGCACAAATGATAAAGAAACCAATTTTCAGAAATATTTTTCACAACGTCATGTAAAATTAGTACATGTCTTTGTCCCTTTAAAGTAATTCTGACCTCGATCTTTAATTCTGCTCTGTCAAACAAAATCACAGAGATTTCAAATCCAGTTGGAAAATAAATCAAATATGCATTGCAAAAAGTAGACTTGGGCTTCAATTAATGGAACTTTAACAGAAACCTGGCCAGAGGAATTGCTCATATAAAAGAAAAAAACAAGTCATGACAACCACCTACTGAACACAACTAACAGTCCCCTTCCCTATTTTGTAAAGTAGAATTAACAAATACAAAACACAGCCACAGGAATACAGATGAGGCAATAGTCTATATTCCTTTCCATTATAAGTGGGGTCATGTATGTGTCTCAAACCTGAATAAAATACAGGTAACAATCTAAATTCAGTCAATGACAATAAAATACTTTTCATTTTCCCAGTCTGATGGTAATAATATATTTACATTTTTAAAAATAATTTTTGCTTTTTGTTTTTTAAAAAGACATAACATGCTCCAGGGTACACAGAATATGGAAAAATTCATCACTCGAAGAGATCAAATAGTATAAAACAATGCTCTTTACATATTAAACCCAATTCAAGAATGGTATCATCAGGGAGTCTAACATGGTGGTTATTTCAAAGATGACATTCAAGTAGTTGTTTAGAACACTATGTCTAATGTGTCTATCAAGAAGTAAGCACTGCTATCTACATTCTGTAGTTTTTAATATCTTCTATATCCACCACCACCTCCATATGGATCTCCATAACCTCTTCCACCATAGCCACCTCTTCCACCATAGCCCCCTCTTCCACCATAATCTCCCCTCCCACCATAATCTCCCCTGCCTTGGAAACCTCCGCCTCTGCCACCCCCTCCCCCTCCCCATCCTCCTCCCCCTCCCCCACCACCTCCCCAACCACCTCTTCCACCCCCACCACCTCCTCTGCCACCACCTCCACCACCCCAGCCACCCCTTCCACCGCCTTCTTGTCTCTTCTGCCAAGGAGGCATCTCAGGTGGTGGTGGTTCAATTTCATTCGGCCGTCCTCCCCTGTCAGGTACCCTTCCCATCAGCACCTGTGTGAAGAAATACCTCCTTTCAGTTTCCAGTATTTTAAAGGTTAAAATTTACAGAAAGGATACAAGAAATATTGAAGTTGCTGTTCTAATAAAGAAACAGAAGCCAAACATTTAAGGACATGAAAGTATCAGACATGGTAGTATGAATTAATAATGAAAATATAAATATGATGTGTGACAAATCCCTCACAATATGGTGTTATTTTTAAACAATGTGGGGGAATATTTCTGAAACTTAAGGACTTGTTTAAATTTGTTTAGCAAATTTTATAACAAATGTAGTACCTATCACACGAAGAAATTTTTTTAGCAAAACATTTTCAATATATACAAACCACATACCCTGCATTTATTAACTTAATATCCATTTATACAACAACACTGGACTCTGCATTGCCATTGATGTAGTACTAGATTATCCAATAAAGTACACTTTATTTCAACAAGGATGAACTATCTATGATAACATGTGAGTGTAATGAGATCAGAGATTAATATAATACCTATAATCCAAGGTTATCACTGCAAAGAGATACAAGGATTCTCTATGAACTATTCTTTCTTATGAGAAACTTAAGCTCAATTTCAATGGTACTACTAGTTACTATATTACTTAGTTACTTGATACACTTAACCATGCTTTATAATACTTTGAAGAATAAACCAAGGAAGAGTTTGCTTTAAGTTCCCAACCTTCTGTAGAAGGGAGCTACTTTACAGGCCCATGAACAGAGACTAAGAGGACACGAATAGCCTCCTGTTAGTACATTTCAGGAAAGAAGGTAAACCAGTAACTGCTTCAACCAAAATCACCTATGAGTCAGTTGTGTTCTACTTCCTCTCATCCTCTCATCAAAACCATATTTTGTCATAGAAAGACAAACAGTACAACATCCTCACTGTGGGACAAGGTTCGAAGTATGCAAACATTCTTGTAAAGTCAGCAATAACGATGCCCTAATCACCAAATCCAAAAAATAGCTTTTCTTGGTTATTCTCATTGGTCTCTGCCAAACATGCTATGTTGGGGAATATACAGGGATGCTGTTCCAAGATCTGATAAGACTGCCCTCAAATAATTAGGCTATAAATTATAAAGTCAGAAAAAAGATGGGCAATGCCACTTAAAGAAATAGAACTCTAGATCCAGAAAGACTAACTTATAAAGTTAGTTATAAGGCATGATATTAAGTTACATGTTTAAAGACAACACTTTCAAAAGAGAGGAGGTTGACTTAAAATGGAAGCAGGAAGACCCAAACACTGGTGCCAAACTTAGCAATAATTAGCAAACTGACTTCATATACAACCATCCCTTGATATAGTATATATCTTTCTCACTTCATTGAATGAGAAACGATGTTTTAAAACTACCCAAATCCCTTACTTCTGACTTTTTTGCTCTTTTGTAGTGAAGTTTGTCATGGAGTGTTCTATCTAAATGAAGAGTATATACTAGCCAAGCTAATACAAACACTGTAAACTAGTGTATTGTTGCTGCTGCTGTTGTAAAGTGAAAAATTCAGCCTCTTTGAGCTTAAGACCACTGTCAGAGGAATGGAGGCTCTATGGTCTGAATCAGGAAATGGACTCTCCAAGAGATTCGGCAACTCGCCCCCGGTTGAGTCCTCTAAGTTAATGACAGCGCTGGGGGTGAACCCAAATCTGTATCCAAAGCACGTACTCTTCTTCCCTTTACGCCAAGGACCTTAGGAATCTGTCAGTACCTGAAATGACTGCTACAGATTTTTATTGATAAAAATGATTACGTTCTTGGAAAGAAGGCAAAAAATTCTTGCTAAAGCTACTGATAAGAATAATTCTTTCTTCTTCGACTGGAAACATTAAGAGGGAACCACAGCAGGATGGTAGGAGAGGTGTGCTCCCAATATAATCGGGCCCCATGCCCCCCAGGTAGGCGACCCACAAGATGAAGAATAATTAAGTTGCAGACGCCCTCCCACAGGAGTGAGAGTTCTAAGCCCCACGTCAGGCTCCCCAGCCCAGGGTTCCAGCATTGGGAAGAGGAGATCCCAGGACATCTGGTTTTGAAGGTCAGTGGGCCTTAGCTCCAGGAGCCCCATGGGACTGGGTGAGACAGAGACTTCATTCTCTTGGGAGGTGTACACAGAATCTCACATGTGCCACGTCCAGGGCAGAGGCAGTAATTTCAAAGGAACCTGAGCCAGGCCTGCCTGCTGGTTTTGGAAAGTCTCCTGGGGATATCCAAGAGATTAGGAGATGGCTGTAGCTCACCCAGGGAACATAAAAGTTGGTGGCAGATATCCCAGGAGTGTTCATCTACATGAGCTCTCCTGGAGGCTGACATCTTGATTGAATCATTAGCACCAAGACCCAGCCCCACCCAACAGCCTATGGGGAAGCCTCAGACCAAACAACATACTGAGTGGGAACACAGCCCCACCCATCAGCTTACCTCCTAAGACCAAAAAGCCTCTAGACAAGACCCTACCCACCAGAGGTCCAGGACCAAGCTTCACCCAGCAGTGGGCAGACACCAGCTCCTCCTGCCAGGACACCTGCATAAGCCTCTAGTCCAGCCTCATCCACCAGGGGCAGATACCAGAAATAAGAAAACAATCCCACAGCCTATGGAAGGAATCCACAAACACAGGCCAGACCCTACACTGGGACCGGCCGGACCCTCGCCCTTGGGTGACAAGAGAGGAGTGTACTGCTGGGACACATAGGACGTCTCCCACAGAGGGCCACCTCTCCAAGGTCAAGAAACTTAACTAGCCTACCCAAAAATACAAATAGAAAGATAGACAACATGAGGCGGCAAAGGAGTATTTTCCAGGCCAAGGCACAAGATAAAATCCCAGAAGAAGAAATAAGTGATGAGGAGATAGGCAATTTATCTGAGAGTTTAAAGTAATGATGGCCAAGATGTTAAGAGAACAGAAGAGGAGTACAGATGCACAGAGCGAAGTTTTTAGCAAAGAGCTGGAAAATATAAATACCCAGAGTTGCAGAATAAAATCACTGAAATGAATAGCACACTAGAAGGAACCAAGACTAAATAAGGCAGAAGAAAGGATCAATGAGCTACAA